ACATACCTTTTATAAGTTGTATAGCTTGGTTAGACTAAAAAGATCCTTTGCCTTTTCCAGCTGCCATATTATATTTGGCCATGAGTGAATTTGTCATAAAACTAAAAATAATATATTTTAATAATATTACACCTTATAATTTATAAAATTATAATTAACTACTGTAATAAAAATTTTTTCTTTTTTTTTTTACATAATCTAAATGTAATTAAACATTCAGATTTTAATTTAACGATACAGTTTATCTATTAGTTAAATCTAATCTATTATTTAAAAAATAGCACACTAACCATTAATGTAGTCCAGATCATTAGTGTACACTAACCATTAGTGTAGTCATATATATGAATATTATCTGGGTTAAAAGAATTATCTGGACTAAAGTTTAAAGCTATAGGATAACCTATAGCTTTAAACTTGCAAACTGGAAAAAGTGTAAATTGGCATTAGTGCGCCAAACAGATTAGCAAACATTACGAATAGGCATAAGTGCAAAATTTGATTAAGTAAGAAACAGTTACAAAAACTGGCAGAAGTGCGAACTGACATAAGTGCGTGTAATAAATTTGCAAACATTGGCCTAAGTGCTAATTGGCATATCGCCCTTATACTAGTTTGCAGTTATGCCAGTTTGGAATTATGCTAAATTTTGCAAATTTATTTGGCACACTTATGCCAGTTCGCATTTATGTTGTTTGCACTTTTGCGAGTTTTTGCAACTGCTTCACACTTATACCAGTTCCCACTTATGGCAATTCACACTTATGCGAATGTTTGTAAATCCATTTAGCGCACTTATGCCAATTTACACATATGCCAGTTTGCACTTATAGCAGTTTGCACTTATGCCAATGTTTGGAATTATTTTTGTGCAGTTATGCCCATTTGCACTTATGCCATTTGGCATTGTGCCAGTTTTTGTAACTGCTTCGCACATGTGCTAGTTTGCGCGTATGAAATTCACGGTTATTCAGTCATCCCATTATGGTAAAACGGCCAATGTAGAGCCATGCATGGGATTTTTATTATGGATTGTAAGATGGGAGTAATATCATTATAAAATTAAACAGAGTATTTATAGGAATGCACTTTTAATTTACTAACCTCTTCATCATAGCTATCACAAGTTTTTGACAGTTCTTACCACCAATATTTTGAACTCTTTGTTTCTAATAGAAAGAAATAATGGAAATCTGACAATTCCTAATTAAGTAGTAAAAATTATATATTGTAAAGAAAATTTAAAAAAAAAGAAAAATCTGTCAAATCAGTATTTAGCAATTTACAACTGCAGAGATACTACAGAGTTACTAGACGAAACATTGTCAAGTGCTGAGTCAAACTTATCAAATTCTATTATACTGTTCATTTCAGTTACTACTTCTTCTTCACACTATTTTATATTAAGTTTTTTGCATCCTTGGGTTTTTATCTCATTTAAGAGAAGCAACACACAATATTGAAAGTCTTAACAAATTTACAATAATTAAATTTTACATAGTCTTAACTAAACTAAGTAAATAAATTTAAAATACATAAATTTAACATATTTAACAACTTTACTGGTCTAACCCTAAATCAGAGAAAAACTAATAGACAGTAAAATACCTAATAGTGGCAATGCTATATTATATATATTAGAGTTTTTCTCAGATTTCGGGTTAGACAAGAAAGATTGTTGCATAGATTTATAGTTTTGATAATATTGAAATAATGGATTTCATGAAGGTGATTATTTAAAGTTAAAATTGGAACCTCATCATTTAAATGATGTTTTTTAATATTGACAATCATGTTAACATTTTACAACAAACATTACAATATTATTTTTAACTAAAGACTTACTTGCTTGAGATAATGGAAATCCATAATGTTTATCCTTTTTATTTAAAAATGATGAAGATTGATGTGTCTTAAAATGAAGTCTTAGTCATCAAAATCAATATCATCTTCATCTATTATTTTTTGACCTACACAACACAAACATAGAGAATATTTGAATTTCATCTAACAACTTGTCTTCTTATGTAGCAATTTTACAATTGAAAATTTTTTACAAATTACTTTACAGATTAATAACTTTATAAGTAAAATAGGGTATACAGTATGGTATATAATATTATAGGTTTCATACTGCTAAATATTTGGTAATAACACCAGAATATCATTAAAGAATAAAAATTTAAAATGTTATTTTGAAGTAAGTCACTCCCTTTCTTGAAACAAATAATCATATTTTTTCCTTTCAGCCATTTTAACTACAGTAATTCCTTTATAAAAACCACTGATATTATCATTTTTAATTTTTAGAGTTAAAGAAGCAAAACTCTGAGAATGTTGTTCCCTTTTCTCAAATCCAAATAAATTTTTTAGCATTAAAAGCAGTTGATAATTAAGTAGAATTAAAAACTTAACCTAGTTTTTATAAGCAATCAGGTTTACTCAACAATTAAGTTACTTAATAGAGAAAAAAAAAATATAGTTAACCACACCATAAAAACTTTATTAATCTTATCTACTTGATTCAAGTAGAAATACAAACACATAGTTTCAACGAAGGCATACAACTTTAAACTAAAAATACTCCAATATATTTTCAAATTTAATTCTACAAGAAAAGAATACAAACAATACACTTGGTTGATTTAAATATATACTAATTTATATAATTTTTACTTAAATAAATCAATTCGCCTGATCGAAGGTCACGCCATTATTTGCGTAAACATACTCTTTTAGATATTGCCGTGCTGTACGTTTAAAAAACGTTTTTTTATCACGTTAAAAAAACATTTTAAAAACGTTCATAAGCTAACTGAGAAATTTCGTAAGTTAATTAAAAAAAATAAAACGTTTAAAAAACGCTAAAAAAACGTTTAAAATAACATTAAAAAAAAACGTTTGCAAAAAAAACGTTTTAAAAACGATTGTATTGGTTCTTTTAACGTCCGACCGTAAATTGAACGGAATTAAAACGTTTTTAAAACGTCCTGTGCTTACTGGGATATATGATATATTATGATAATATGAAATATGAAAAACCATTTAAGCCACACCAAGTGTGAAATCATGAACGTTTAACTAAATATTATATATATAAATTTATATATATATATATATATATATATATATATATATATATATATATATATATATATATATATATATATATATATATATATAAATATATATATATATATATATATATATATATATATATATAATATATATATATATATATATATATATATATATATATATATGTTACATATAAACATAAACATATACTATTATAAATATTATATTATTGCTGTTAATAATATAATCTTACATATACAGTAAGATAAATGTAAAAAACAGACAGCATTAGCCACAAGAACCATAATAATTTAATTTTTTTCAATTTTCTTTAGAATGGAAAAAATGAAGAAAAATAAAATAGTTAAAAATAATTCAAAGAAAATCAAAGTGCCTAGAAGTAAACGTGGAAAACACTGTCTATGGAATAATGCATCTATGATATCAGCAGTTAAAGCTGTAAGAAATGGATTTTCACAGAGAGCTGCTTGTAAAACTTTTGGCGTTCCAAGAAGTTCATTGCAAGTTCGACTATCTGGAGTAACCGAAATTGGAGCCAAACCCGGACATCCAACTACTCTAACTGCAGAAGAAGAAAATAAAATAGTAGATTTTGCATGCAATCGTGCATCTTTAGGAATAGGATTCGGTCGATCTCAATTTTTTAAATATGCAGAAAACTTTGCTTTAAAACATAAAAAATCATTTAAGAATGGAACACCTTCTGAAAAATGGTGGCGTGGAATGTGCAAAAGGCTCAAGCACTTTACTTTACGTCAACCAGAAGAAACAGCTGCTATTAGACATCAATGTATGAATGCTTCTAAAATTTCAAAATATTTTTTTGTTCTCAAAAATGTATTAATGGAAAAAAAATTAAATAATAAACCAAAAAACATTTGGAATATGGACGAAACTGGTATGCAGTTTGATTATCGCCCTGAAAAAATAATTGCTAAAAAAGGAGTAAAGTATCTACATAGTCGTACTTCAGGTAATCGGGAAACGATTACTGTTATAGCATGCTTTAATGCAACCGGTAACTCTATTCCTCCACATTTTATAGTAAAAGGAAAAACTATAAGATCTCTGTGCAATTTTCAAATTGAAAATGCCCCTGAAGGAAGCACATGGAGTGTTTCAGACAGTGGTTGGACAAAGCAGGGCATTGCGTTTCTCTGGTTTACAAAGTCGTTTCTTCCAAATATTGGTTCTGACAGACCTCAGTTACTTATTTTAGATGGACATGACTCACACAACTTTGTTGAGTTATTAGATGTGGCTGTGGCAAACAAAATACACATTGTTGAATTGCCTGCGCACACTTCCAACTGGCTACAACCTTGTGATAGGACAGTGTTTGGCCTACTCAAAAAAGCTTACAGAAAAGCATGTGAGAATTTGATTAGTAATTTTCCTGGGACACTAGTTTCGAAAGTTAGTTTTTGTGGCTTGATGAAGCAGGCTTGGAGTGAATCTGTTACTGTAAATAATATTAAATCTGGTTTTCGAGCTTGTGGAATCTATCCATATGATCCAAATATAGTTCCAACCGAAGCTTACATTCCTAATTCTCTATACATGCCATCAGAAAGCCATCAAAAAGTGAGAACATATTGAATAACATAGACAAATTAACATCACTATCTAATGATCATTGTGAAATAGAAGAGTTTATGGAATATCCATCAAATCCAACAAATGAGGAAGAAGTTGACTTTTCTATATCAGCGTTAGCAATTAACAAATCTCCACCTTTAAATCATACATATGCCATTTCTAATACATCAGTAACTAATTTAGTTTCTGTTAATATTAATAACAAAGATAGTATCATTTCTAATACACCAGCAATTAATTTAATTTCTGGTAATATTAATAATCAAGATGTCACAAGAAAAAAAGAGATTAGAGGTTTAGAT